GAGAACTCAAAGGGCGAGGCTCACTGAGCCACTTATCCCTCCACCCTTCAATGAACCCCACATGTGTTTATTGGCCAGGTTGGCACAATAAACTACCTCAGTGGCCTAATACATCCTGCATATCAGATATTTACACGGCGATTCCTAAAAGTAGCTAAATGACAGTGATGAAGTAGCAATGAAAATAATGTATGGTTGGGGTCACCACCACATGAGGAACTGTCTGAAAGGGTCCCGGCATTCGGAAGGTTGAGAACCACTGCTCTAGAGGGTGTCTGGGGCTGTCAATCTTTACAGGAGCAGAGAGCCTCACCTTTCTCCTGAGAAGTGGCTGAGGGTTTGAATCACCCACCCTGAAGTTAGCGCCTTAGGGCTCACCCAATACCGACACCTGAGTCCCTTCCCCACTGTCTCAACCAAACTCACAGCCTTCGAGTGGACCCCAACTCACCGCGACCCTAAAAGAGAGGGTAGAACGGCTCCTGTGGGCTTATGGGAGTAGAACGTCTCATCTTGCTCCTGCAGAGCCATTGGTAGGTTCGAACTGCCTGCCTTGAGGTTAGTAGCCCAACACGTCACCCATACAGAACAGTGGCCCATGTGGCTGCCAGTGTGCTGGGTACCCTTTTTCAACAAGACTTGGCTAGACTGACTGGGAGAGAGGTGATGGGGTAGCCTATGTGGAGTGTAGGTAGCCGGTCAGGGGCTTGAGGGCTTCCTGGAGGAAGGGGAATCTGAGGCCCTAAGGTGTGTGTGTCTTTGTGGATTCTCTTTTGGACCAGACGAGTACCGGGAGCCATAAGCCAGGCTGCAGAATATGACTCTCATCATCCCAGCTAGGTCCTGGGATGACCCTGCCTGGGTTCAAATCCTCGCTCAGCCACCTACCAGCGGGGGCACCTGAGCTCTCTTCCCACTCTGTGGCACCATTTCCCTGCCACGTCAGAAGGGGGTCCTGAGCAGTCTGTGACGTACTGCAGACCCGCTATGTAGTGACTTTCAGGGCTTACCTACTTCATGTCAGTGCCTCTGCCTGCCCAATGGGCCCTGGTGGTGCACTGGGTTCCGCTTTGGGCTGCTAACCTCAAGGTCAACAGTTCAAGCCCACCAGCTGCTTTGAGGGAGAAAGAGGAGGCTGTCTAGTCCCATGAACCCTCAGAAACCCACAGGGACAGTTCTACTCTGTCCTACAGGGCCACTGTGAGTCGGCATGGCCTCAATGGCAGTGAGCCGGTTTATATTTTGTATTCCACACAGGCCAAAGGAGTTTCATGGTGGGACCCGTGGCTCCTCACCCACAGGTGGGTGGGGATTTGAACCCACCACCAGAAAAGATCTGGCAATCCACTTTCATAAAAATGACAGCCTGTGGCACAGTGGTTACCCGTTGAGGTGCTAACTAGTTCGAAACCACCATTCGCTCCGTGGGAGCAAGGCAAGCTTTCTCCTCCCATAAAGAGTTACAGGCTTGCAAACCCACAGGGGCAGTCCTACCCTGCCCTGTAGGCTTGCCGTGAGTCTGTCTGGACTGGGTGGTGGCGAGCTTGTATAGAAAGCCCCACGAGGCAGTTCTACGCGTCACACAGAGTGACTCTGAGTCAGAAAGAGACTCCAGGTCACCTAACAGCAAGGACACCCACCCGGCAGGGATTGACAGCTGGATCAACCTGAGCCATGTGGACCCGGACGCCGAGGTGCAGGGGGAGATCCGTCTGGCGGTGCAGGTGCTGGAAGATGGGAGGGGCCGCTGCCTTCGCTGCCACATGCTCCAGGCCAGGTGAGTCACAAGGGGGAGTGGAGGTCTAAGGAGCAGTGGCCACTCGGCCCCCAGCTCGGCCTGGTCTGTAGAACCTCTGTACTTTAGCAGAGCTTCTGAGTTCAGGACTTGGATCCCTGTCTGAGTGGGAAGCTCCAGGCTCGCCGGTCACTAGTCCCTGGGGTCAGAGTGCAAGTAAAAATCCCTATTGGGCCCCCAGCGACCAGCAACCACAGCCCAGACCATTGAGATGGCCAGACACAGGAGTGTGTGTGTGGGGGGTGGGGGTGGTGTTAGTAATCAAATAGGAAGTGACAAAGACCCCAGGTCATGCTGGCTTTAGCAGAAGAGTGAATTCATTGGCTCAAATGACTGATGTGTGCTTCAGGCATGGCTGGATCCAGGCTCTTGAGCACCCGCCATCAGCACTTTGTCTCCGTCCGGCTTCTGTGTTAGCTTCAGTCTTCGGCAGCCTTTTCCCAGATTGGAGGGGGTGGGGGAAGAGCTGCAAAGATGATCACCCTGTCCCCTTAGCCGCTCCAAAAAGGATTTCGATTTCTCACCCACATCCTAGGACTGTCTTACCCTCGCCATCTGGGGCACACATACGCTTCTCTGAATGGGCTCATCCTGATTCTGATTGGTCACCAATCCATTCCTAGAGGGGAGGGTGGGGGATCAGCCCACCTACTTCAGGTAGATAGGGAGTGGTGGGAGGGACACAGACTGCCCCGAAGACACACTGGGAGAGGGAAGGATGCAGAGCCAGGGTGCAACCACGCCCACAGATGCCCCTCCAGGGGCCCCAGTTTATGTGACGTCCATCATTCTCCTCCTCAACCCACCCATGATTGTACGCAGCGGTGAGATTCAAATGACTTAACGGGGTTGCTGCCCCAGTGACCGTTTTCAATATTAAAAACAAACCAAACCCCATATACCGCGAGGTCGTCCATTATCTCCACATGCTATCCGCGTGCCGCTGCCGCTCAGAGGAGTGTGAAGACCAGAGAAAGGGCTGTGAGCTTGAGACTTCCACACGGGGCCACTGGACGGCTGCCCGTCTGCTAGGGAACGCCAACGATAAGTGACCTTTTCACAACCGGTTCACCAGACTCGACCCAAACAAAATAAACAACCGAGCTACTGGGCCTGCGGAACCGGTGCCAACGGGTTGGATCCCACCCCTGAATTCACCCCTTCCTTTTCCCATCCAGGCCTTCTGCCCTGTTTTGCCACCTCAGTCCCCCGCTGCTCCCCTCCACCCAGCGAGTACAGTGCTGAGTCCAGGAGAAATCAGAAAGGATCCCTGGGAAGGTGGCGGTTCGTCCACTCCCAGCGTGATTCCCAACAGAGCAGGTGGGGCGTGTGTCTGAGGTCAGCGGATGGCTGCGGACAGTGTCTCTCCGTCCCGCATACGGGTGCCTCTGTCTTGGCCGTCCAGAGATGGACGGACATGCTCACACATTGTGGTCAACGGAGGGACCGGATGAGGATGTCCTGCAGCTAAATCATCCATGCTCATCACGACGGGTCTGGAGAGCCGACTGGTGGGGGAACTCTCACGGTGATGAGCTATCAATAAGTCTTCATGTACGTTCTCATGACTGAGAACAGTCCCTCCAATACCCCCCCCCCCAAAAAAACAGAAGTGTCACAGAGGAGCTCCTCTATAAGATGAATCATTTATGTGCCTAGCTACTGCACCATGCTTAACGGCGATCTGCAGATAAAAGCAATCAGGGTCCACAGCCAGCCCACCATACATGCAGCAGCCCTCTCGGGAGGACTCATGGGTGGGGTTCAAGGTCAACCAGCACTAGGTCAAGACCATGACTCATGTCATTGCTTGTCTATCATGTTATTCATTTATGGTATCACCCCTCGATGTTGGAACATGTTACCTGTATGACGTGCAGGTCATATGAAAGTTCTCTAAGCCCCATTACTGTATAGACTCGAGTATAAGTCGAGTTTCCCAGCACATTTTTAATGCAGTTTCTGTGATAAAATTAGGTGCCTCGGCTAATAGTTGGGTCAGCTTATACTCGAGTATATACAGTATATATACCACTGGAAAATACATTCTCTGACATGGGATGGGGCGCCCCTGTGCCCCACTGTCAGTCTGTCTTTAATATTTTCCACAATCGCAAAGTTGCTCCTGAGGACCCGTTCGAGTGTTGAGGAGCCCCTCACCCTGACAAAACACAATGTAACGACAGAGGTGAGGATGGTGTTCTGTTGAGCGCCGTCCCTCTGTGAGTCAGCACTGGCTGGAGAACAGCTACAGTCGCCGTAGGGAGCCTTCGAAATTATTCCAGTCCAAACAGCGGCCTCCCGGGGGACCTACTGGGCCAGTCAAAGTCACCCCAGAGAGGCCAGAGGTGATGGCGACTGGTTTGGGAGACTCCGCACTGAGTCCTCCGAGGTGGTGAGGAGCTGAGTGAGAGGCCCCCTCTTTCTCTTTCTTCTATGAGCAAGCGCTTGCTTCCTAGGGAAGCAGTGCTCCGCCCACCTTGCAGCCCTGACCTTGCCCCTTCTCAATTCTTTTTGACCCTCACACTCAAGAGTACAGGGGAAAGGAACACGACAAGGTATCCCTCTGGGATGCCCAAAGTGCCGTTTCAACATGGTGGCTGTGGAAGATGCAGCATCCTTTGGGGGAAGGACCAGAGAGACAAATGGTGCCTTCAGCAGCGTGTGTGTGGACTGAGATGGGGGCTACGCAGAGAAACAGTAGTTTTAGCTTCTCATGTTGCCTCTTTTTTCCTTCATAAAGATTCCTGGGATTTGCAGCAATCCTTTTTTGACAGCTCCTTGCATTTTTGGCTTGCTGTAGGATCTTTTTTTTAAATTAAAAAAAAATTTTTTTTTTTACTGTAGGATCTTAAAGCCCTCCCTTGACCTCTCTGTGTCTCTCTCACCACCTCCAGATTTCTGATCTGCATCAGGGCTCCCTGGTGTCTGGAGGTGGGAGCGCCAGGGAGGCAGGGGACAAGTGAAGGGGCTCAGCATGGACAGGGGCTCCCTGTCTGCTCTGTGCCCACCCACGGCCCCCTCCCCAGTCATGAGGCTGTGCAGAATCCTTGCAAGCAGGAGAGGGACTGATGACTGTCGCTTAGCAACCGGGCCAGCTCCTAGGAAACAGAAGAAGGCTCAGGATGCTGAACCAGGGTGGGAGAGGAGCAGGAGGAAGCAAGCCACCCAGGGAAGTGGGTGTCCCTGGATTTGGGTGGTCCTGGGGACCAGAATCAGGGGCTCTCTTTCTTAGACTTTTTATTGGGCCCCAGGCAGGTGTAGGGAGGTGTTTGCTGAGGGAATGAGCATTCACCATCTGTCCTTTACCCACCTCATCTCATTCAACCTGTGGCATTTCGAACTTGCTCTGTCCTTCCTCCCGTTTTCCATATGGGGAAAACCAAGGCTCAGAGAGGCCAAGGAACTATGCGGTCTCCTGTCTGGGAATTCCAGGGGATCTGGGACTCTCCTGCTCCCCAGCTTCACCTTCATCTTGGGCCTCCGCTTCCTCCCTTGGAGAACAGGGAACTATCTATTGCCTCCTCGGGTGGAAGGTGTTGGGTCTTGGCAGGCATGGTGGCGATGGACCAGGGTGTGGCCTTGGAAAACCAGTGGCATTTAAATCCTTTACCTGAAGTGCCCCCACCCCCACCAACTTGGTATGGTCCCTGAGGCCCCCTGGCTCTCCTCACCCCTTCCCCTATCTTTCCCCAGGGACCTGGCCCCCAGGGACATCTCTGGCACCTCGGACCCCTTTGCTCGTGTGTTTTGGGGCTGCCAGAGCTTGGAGACTACGGTGAGTGGGGCGGGGAAGGGGAGGCGAGTGGGGAGGTAGGGTGTAGTGGGGTGGGAGGGCACCAGCTCTCTCCCTCACAGACCACCCTCCCCTCCTCAGACCATCAAGAAGACCCGCTTCCCGCACTGGGATGAGGTGCTGGAGCTGCGAGAGCCACCAGGACCCCCATCCCCTCTTCGGGTGGAGCTCTGGGACTGGGACATGGTGGGCAAAAATGACTTCCTGGGAATGGTGAGCACTCTCTCCCTGACACCCTCTGTGGCTCCCTTGTACCTCCAAGGGACAGGAAGGGGGAGACCACTAAGCCTTCTCGGAGCTGGCAGATGTGAAAGCTGCCTTCTCAGGTTCTCCAGGAGTCCCCGGGTCAGCCAGGCCGGGGCGATGGAGTTTGAGCGCCTATTGTGTAGATAAGACTGACTCTCTCAAAGCACCTGAGGTTGCAGCTGGTCGAACCCAGAGTCACCCTCAGGGGACAGAACAGCCAGGATGACCGTATGCCTGCCCTAGGCCTCTCCAATACAACCCCCTTATCTAACCCCTCATGACCACGGAGCTGGGACAGCTGCAAGCCCCTTTTACAGGCAGGGAAACTGAGGGGCAGGCGAGGTCAAGGCACGCGTCTGACAGAGGCCTGAGCTTGGATGTGAATTCGAGTGTCTCTGGTACCAGAACGGAAGCTCTGGGGCTCAAGTAAGACCTTGCTCTGTGAGCGTCAACCTTCCCATCTGTAAAGTGGACATGACTGGCCCTGCCTCACATGCTCAGGGCTTTAACATTTTTAATTTTTCAAAGGAGGCAACGTGAGAGCAAAGTAATGAGAAAGACTTAGTCCTGCATTGCTGATGGGATTGTAGGAAAGGTGCTGCTTTGGGGGAAATGGCCTGGCGGGCCCTTAAAGGTTACATATGGACTCACCTCCAGAGCCAGCCCAAGAGAGATGAATACACGGCTTGACCCCAAAGGTTGTACTTGCATGGCCATAGCCGAGTGTGTTTATAGTAGGCGCCCCAGGTCCCAAGTGGAAACAGTCGAAATGTCCACCAGCGAATGAATGGCTACACAGAAGGGTTGTCTCTTGACAATGGCCCCTGTTGCTGGGCTTTTGTGGAGTGGGTCGTGCACAGCCAGGGTGGCTGCCCAGCTCTGTGGCCTTATGGGGCGCCACTGGCTTCTGTTCTGCAAATAGGTGCATTGTGAAGCATGCAAATTCCGGCTCAGTAACACTGTTATTTAAAGGAGGAAGGGGGCGGGGCCAGGGACTTTCCACACTGCCTTAAGTCGCTCCCCCGATGTCATTTGTGTCCCTGGATGGAACTGAAAGAAGGCAGCCAGGAGACACACACTCACGGCCATCGAGTCCATATTCCGAGTCACAGGGACCATATAGGACCGAGTAGAACTGCCCCTGGGGGTTTCAGAGACTAAATCTTTCTGGGAGCTTAGAGCCCCATCTTTCTCCTGCGGAGTGGCTGGTGGTTTTGAACTGCTGGCCTTGTGGGTTAGCAGGTCCAAGTGTCAGCCACTGTGCCACCAGGACTCCGAGGACAGACACCTGTTTGAGTCCTGGCTCTGCTCAGCAACTGTGTGACCTTCAGCCAGTGTCTCTGCCTCTCTGAGCCTCAGTGCCTGAGCAGGAGGAAGGAGCCTGGGGTGGGGCAAGGTCTGAGCACGCGCGCTGGGTCCTTGGGGCCTGTTGGGGAGCTGGAGGGGGCCCTGGCAGGCCATCTGCTCCCCCTTGGGGGAGATGTCTGAGCTCTCTGAGCAGGTTGGGTGGGGAGGGGGTTGGCGGGCAGGGCAGGGCTTGGCTGAGGGCCCATGGTTCCCCACAGGTGGAGTTCTCCCCCCAGGTCCTGCAGCAGAACCCACCCAATGGCTGGTTCCGCCTCCTGCCCTTTCCCAGAGCAGAGGAGGATGCTGGGTAAGTGGGTGGGTGGGAGGGTAGGGTCCTGGGGAAGGAGCCAGGCTGGGACCATGTTGGGAACTGTCGTTAGCCAGCCCCCACCAGACAACCACGTCACTGCCTGCACACACACACACACACACACACACACACACACACACACACATGTTCATTCAGCAAACATGAATGGAATGCCCTTTAACATGTGCTTCCATAGAAGCTCGCCTTACAGACACTCATTGATCACACAGGAACAGGGTCTTTCCTGTGGTCGGGACTCTGGCTTCTCCCACACCTGTCTACACCTGCCCAACTCTGCACACACGGACCATCCCTGCACACACTCTACCTTACACCCACACCACCCATCTCTGCACACACTGCAGATGCAGGCCACACCAGCGTACATCATTCACTCTGCATTTGTCTCTGCCTGCTCACACCTGCCAATATCTGCTCACCTGCCAATGCCTGCTCACACCTGCCAATGCCTGCTCACACCTGCCCATGCCTGTTCACACCTGCCAATGCCTGCTCACACCTGCCAAGGCCTGATCACCTGCCAATGCCTGCTCACATCTGCCAATGTCTGTTCACACTGTCAATACCTGCTCATCTGCCAATGCCTGATCACACCTGCCAATACCTGTTCACACATGTCAACGTCTGCACACACCTGCCAACACCTGTTCACACTACCAACGCCTGTTCACACTGCCAATTTGTGATCACACCTGCCAAAGCCTGCTCACACCTGATTTTCTGACCACATCTGCTCAGGCCTGTTCTATCTGGCAAACAGCCATGCACATATCTTCACCTGAGTCCACACCTGGCCACTGACCTTACACTCCTTCTCCTGTGGCCTGGCCCGGGCAGGGGGAGCCTGGGGGCACTGAGACTGAAGGTGCGCTTGACTGAGGACCGGGTGCTGCCCTCCCTGCACTACCAGCCGTTTACTGACCTGCTCATGGAGTCCGCGCTGGACCCGACAGAGGTGGGTGCTCCAGGCCCGAGGTGCCGCAGGGTTCTGTGGGTGTCCGGGTCCTGGCCTCTCCCATCTGGATCCCAGGCCACTTGCCCCACTTCCTACTCCCGCCCAGGAGGACACTGCTAGCCCCCTGGCTGTGCTGGAGGAGTTGACCTCAGGGGACTGCCGCCAGGACCTGGCCACCAAGCTGGTGAAGCTTTTCCTGGGCCGGGGCCTGGCCGGGCCTTTCCTGGACTATCTCACCCGGCGCGAGGTGGCTCGGACCAGTGAGTTGCTACTGAGTCCTCAGCCCCCTCCCAGGGATGGGCCTACAGAGGGTCCCTGGGGGAGAGGGTCGGGCTCCCCACTCCATGTACCCCCAGCCAGCCTGGGAGCCAGCACAGCCCTGGGCTCAGACCCCGGGATCCTTACTCAAGAACTCATGTGGCCCCAGGCACCTCACTTATCCATTCTGGGCTGCTGCCTGTGAACGGGGCTAAGGTGTGGGTCTCCCTGATTCCTGGGCCCCCAACTTGGGTGGGTGGGGTGAGCTGGGTCTAGCCCCCCATATCCCAGCAGCGCTTCCCACTGTCCTCTCAGCCAATCCCAACACTCTCTTCCGTTCTAACTCGCTGGCCTCTAAGTCCATGGAGCAGTTTATGAAGGTGAGCAGACCGTCATTTCTGGAGGGGCCCCCTTCCTGGTGCTTAGCGGGACACCGCGCTTGACCAACCTCGGGCCCCTGGGTGGTTGGGCTGGGCTGTGTGGTGGCTCGGGACTGGCCTGGCCCTCAGCTGCACCTCCTGCAGTCACCAGGCCCAGCGTCTCTGAGCCGTGCCCGGCCTGATGCCCCCCAGCCTTGCCTCATGAGCTCGGCGCGGGGGACTGTGTGTGCTCCCACCCTAGTTCTTGGGCATGCTGAGCCTGGCTTTGAACTGCTCCCTGCGCGACCCTGACCTGCCCCCAGCTGGTGGGCCTTGTCTTCAGCCCTGCCCTGTGTGCTGCCCGCCCCCAGCTCGTGGGCATGCCCTACCTGCACGAGGTCCTGAAGCCAACGGTCAGTCGTGTCTTTGAGGAGAAGAAATACATGGAGCTGGACCCATGTAAGATGGAGCTGGGTCGCACACGGTGAGCAGAGCTCAAGATGGGGCCCTGACCCCCACCCCCAGCCCAGTGGGCCCACCGGGAGCCTTTCCAGAAGGGCTCAGCTCCCACCCCACGCTAGGGCACAGCGGCTCCGGAGCTGCACAGCCAGCCTCAGAGCCCTCATAGGGAGCATGCAAAGCCTTGGGCTGTGTAGTATAGAGGTTAAGGGCGGAACTCTGGAATCCATCTCCCCGGGTTCAAATCCCAGCCCTGCCCCACAGGCTCCAGGCCTGCTATTTCATCTGAAACAGGCCCGTGAGCAGCTGTGAGAAACACAGAAGCTTCTACCGATGTGCCCAGCCCAGCCCACGGAGAGAGCCCCAGAAGGATAGCCTTTATTGTGCTGCTGGGGATGGGTTTATGAATTTGTGATTGTTGCAGTCCCGCGTTCAAACCTCTACTCTGCCGCTTCACTTGGCATCGGCTCCCCTCTAAACCTCGGTTTTCTTCAGCTGTTCAGATGGGACCGATCAGGCTATGCCGTCTCATAATCCCTCCGGTAGCCTTCCATATCAAAGACTCCCGACCCATGGATTTGCAGAAGGCAGCTCATGCAGGGCTTAGTGAGCTGAACCCAGGCTTTGCTCCTCTGGTGTGTGTGTGGGGGGGGGGGGGGGGAGACAGAGACAGACAGAGAGACAGAGAGACTGAATCTGCGTCTGAAAACGGGAGCCACATAATGTTGGATGACAATGTCTCTTCCATGAAGTCGATGTGGACTCAGAGTGACTCCGAAGCCCAGGGTAGGGCAGCCCCTGCCTTGGGGCTTCTAAGGCTGTAACGCTAAGGCTGTAATGCATACGGGAGCAGAAAGCTTAATTTCCAGACCTGGCTACCAATAGGAAGAAAAGGGCCAGTCTGTCCTCTGGTGTACAAAAGAATGTGCAAGGCCCTCTCCTGTGCCAGGCCCAGGGCTGAGCACTGAGGATGCCACAGAGCACAACTGGGCACAGTCTAAAGGGAGGACGGGTGGAGAAGAGCCTGGGAGTGGCTCAAAGGAACCCAGACAGGGAAGAGATGGGAGGAGCCAGGGGGCCAGGGAGTGAGCGGAGATCCTTCTGATAGACTCCCGGAGAAGGGGATATGTGAGCAAGGAGGTGAGGGGCGGTGTCATGGGGAGACTTGGTGTGAGAGACCATGGGAAACAGCAAGTGCAAAGGCCCTGAGGCCAGAGGTTTGCCAGGTGCACCCTGGAAAGGCAATGAAGCGGGGTCTGTGGCCGGGAGCAGCCTCCTTGAGGAGGGGACGCTGCAGCTGAGTGCATGGTCAAGAGTGTTCTGGGCAGGAGGAAGAGCAGGTGCAAAGGCCAGGCTGTGGTGGATGAGAGCCCGGCAGGCGTGTCTGGGGGCAGGGCACCGAGCCCAAGGCTCCGAGGAGGCTCAGGTGCTCCGCTTGCTCCTCCAGGCGGATCTCCTTCAAGGGCACCCTCTCGGAGGAGCACGTGCGGGAGACCAGCCTGGGGCTGCTGACTGGCTACCTGGGGCCCATCGTGGACGCAATTGTGGGCTCCGTGGGGCGCTGCCCACTCACCATGCGCCTGGCTTTCAGGAAGCTGGGCCAGCGCGTGCAGGAACGTTTCCCCCAGGTGGAACACGAGGTGGGCACGGAGGTGGGCAAAGGGGAGACTGAGGCTGGGGAGGGACAGTGGCTGGTCTGGGGCCACCCAGAGAGGTAGGGGCGGGATCCGGGAACAGCACCAACAACACTGTCAGCTAACACACGGCCCGCCCTTGTTCTGAGCCCAAATCTCCTCCAGCTCTTTCCCCCTCTGTCCTTTCTCCCTCATCCTCTCCTTCTGCCTCCCCACCCCCACCCAGTGCAGGAGGATGCTCTGCGCCCAGCTCCAAGCTGGGAGGTGGCTTCTTTACACCCCACTTGGCCCCGCTGTCATCTTGAGATGCCAGCAGAGGTGTTAAATGGGCCAGGGCTGTGGCCAGGAGGAGAAAGGCAAGGAAGTAGCTCCCTTGTGGAAAGCCAGGCTCAGTGCTCAAGGTGGGCCCTGGCCATGGGCAGGGAGCAGGGACACCCTCAAGCCCACAAGGATGGGTAAAGTCCGAGGGGGCCCTCTTGGCTGCTCTGACACCTGGCGCTCACCCTGGAGAAAGGGGTGAAGCTGGCTGGGGAGCAGGTGGTGGCGTGTGTGTGTGTGTGTGTGTGTGTGTGTGTGTGTGTTGCAGGTCAGGGTTGAAGGAGAGCCCTGGGGAGGGGGAAACGGAGGGGCAGGACAGAGACCCTCCATTCGGGCCGCTCACTCCTAGCTAAAGCTTGCTGTGAAGCCGATGTGCCCCCGGAAGCTGGCACACACCCAGGAGAGCGTATTGTCTCATGTGTGAATACAACCCCCCAAAAAAGCCCAGGAGCACATATTTTGGGGCTAAATATAGCTGGAGAGTGTGAGAGGTGGGTGGGTGGAGAGCCGGCGTAGGGTGGGGGAAGCCAGATGCACCCAGGTTCTGGGCACACCCTCTTCCGGATTGGAGGGGGACCCACCTCACACAATGTGTCAGGAGCAGCCTGTGGATGCGTTCTGGGCCCACTACCAGGCCTCAGTTCCCTCAGCTGTAAGGGGCCCTGCAGCGTGAGCCCAGGGTGGACTGTGATCCCGCCCGTGTGCATAGCTGCTGGCCCTGCTCAGGAGCTGGTGTGGAAGGGCAGGCAAGGGTGGTGAATGCCTGCCTGGGTTCTCATTCTGCCTCTGCTATTTATAGCCCTGGGGTACATGGCCTGCCTGCTCTGGGCTCAGTCCTCTCGTCTGTAAAACGGGCACGATAACCCCTCGGAGGCACAGACAGATGTATGGAGACATACCCAGTCTGTCGCTGTTCTTGAATCCCAGCGATCTGCGTTCCGATCCTGCCTCCTCTACTCCTCAGCGGTGTGGTCCTGGGCAAGTCGCTGGGCATCTCTGAGCTTCTGCCTCCCCATCTGTGAAATGGGAATGAGGGTGGAGGCTCTGTCATGAACCTGTGGCCTTTAGGCACTGGGGGAAGCTTGACCTAAGTCAGATGGTGCAAGCATGGTCTCATGACTCTGTTTTCCCTGGTGGAGAAACGGAGGCCTGGAGAGGAAAAGAGACTTCCAAGTGGACACCACTGGCCCTTAGCTGACCAGGAGGGTCCCTCTTTCCCTTTGCCCCTGGCTGCCTCTGGCCCCCCCCACCCCCAGAAATGGGCATGGGGCCCCCTCTCACGCGCAGGTGCTGCTGTTCCCGGCAGGACGTGAAGTACCTGGCCATCAGTGGCTTCCTCTTCCTGCGGTTCTTTGCACCTGCCATCCTCACTCCAAAGCTCTTTGACCTCCGGGACCAGCACGCAGACCCCCAGACCAGCCGCTCGCTGCTCCTGCTCGCCAAGGTGTCTGCCCTGTCCCCGAAGCTCTCAGCCAATGGGGGACAGCATGGTGGGAACAAGGCTGGGAGACCAGACCCTCAGAAGACCCACCGGAGGCCCAGAGAAGCCCATGTGTGAGGCCCCAACCACTATTAGCACTCTGAGTTATGAAGGCAGTCTTGACCCTCTCCAATGTCTTCTAAAACTGAGATACCCCCCCTCCTCCCCACTTTCTCAAAAGGAAAATGGAAGGCAGGCTAGCAGTCATTGACACTTTAGTGTGAATTAGCCCTTCCTTTGCAAAGCAGCCAAGTCTGGAGGTTTGACTGGGTTCTAGAGTATGCATGATAGGATTGGGCAGTCTTGGGTGGGGAGATGGGGTGGGCAGGGTAAGGGGGTCTTCTTTGTTGAGCCCTGCTTTGGGACTCAGGAGTCCGGGATCCACAGACCACCCCCACCCCAACCCTGGGACCGTGACTTGGTGTCCTCTGCCCCTCTGCTGCAGGCTGTGCAGAGCATCGGGAACCTGGGCCAGCAGCTGGGCCAGGGCAAGGAGCTGTGGATGGCGCCCCTCCATCCCTTCCTGCTGCAGAGCATCTCCCGAGTGAGGGACTTCCTGGACCGGTTGGTGGATGTGGAAGGGGAGGAAGGTGAGTATCTGGGCCCTGCCTCACCTGGCTGTCTACCTCCTGGGCCCTCGGGCCTCCCTCCCCTCCCTAGCCCTGAGAACAATCTGGCCCCAGGACCATTTCCTAGGCCAGGTCCTGGAGACCGGCTTGCCTCAGGACCCCCACCCTCCAGCTAATTAGGGGAAGTGGGTGGGCCTGTGGCACTGGGTGCATTCAATCATCAGGTAGCCTGGCGGGCTGGTGACTAAGCACCTGGCTGTAAACCACAAGTTTGCAGTTCAAATCCGCCCGTAGCTCTAAGGGAGACAAGACGGGGCGACCAGCTTTTCTAAAAACCACAGCCTTGGAAACCCTAGGTAGCTTTGGGCCGGCTATGAGTCGGAATGGCCTTGAGGGAGCACAAGAGCCGCATCCTGGGGTGCAGGGGAAGCAACAGTGAGAGAGAGAGGAAGGGGTCGGGGCTCAGGCAGCTTCACTCTGGGGCGCCACAGGCTGTGAAAGCAATGAACCAGCGAAGCGGATGTCCTGAGGACACTGAGTCCCGGTCCCAGGGTGGGGATGGGGTGGGGGGGGGACACAGGTGGAGATTCTGACAGGTGGAATAGGAGGGCTCTTAAGGAGGTGACATCAGGGTGAAGACCTGCAGGAAGACAGGGACGAGTCATGGTGATCCCGGGAGAGAGTTTTCCAGGCAGAGGGAATAGCAAGTGCAAAGGCCCTGGGGTCCAGGGAGAAGGCTGGAGACCGAGGGGTAGGAGCCCAGACCCCGTGGGGTTGGAGGCCACTCTGAGGATGTGGAGGGGCCCTGGTGGCGTCATGGTTATGCATTGGGCTGCTAACCACAAGGTCGGCAGTTTGAAACCAGCAGCAGCTCTGCGGGAGACAGATGGAAGCTTTCTACCCCTGTGTAGAGCTCCAGTGTCGGAAATCCACGGGGCTAGTTCTACCCTGTCCTATAGGATTGATAAGCATCGGAGTCAAGTCCAGCTCAATGGCTGTGGGTTTTGTTTGAGAATATAAGGATTGGGTCTTTTACTAACTGTGTGGAAGGGACCCAGGAAGGGATCCAGGGAGGGGTTAGGTCCATATCGCCCTGTGGGACCCCAACTATGACAGAGTTCAGTTCAAGTCAGAGAGGAGCAGCCTGTGGGGCCCTGGTTGTGGCCCTGGGGCCGGTCCCATTGGATATGGTTCCCTCTGCTGACCCGTGGCAGAATCCCAGGCCCTAGGAGGAAGTGGAGGGCCCAGGGCACCACGCCCATCCCTTTCAGGGGATCCAGAACCCAGCTGGTCCTTGGAGCCCTGGGCCAGCTGGTGGGGCAGGTGGAGCTCCCCCAGGGAGGGCTGACTGTCCCCTTCTCTATTTGGCAGCGGCTGGGGGCCCAGCCCGGGTCCTGGTCCCGCCCTCTGTGACTGTCCGAGAAGGCTACCTGTTGAAGCGCAAGGAGGAGTCTGCCAGCCTGGCCACACGCTTCACCTTCAAGAAGCGCTACTTCCGGCTCAGCGGGGAGACCCTGTCCTACTCCAAGACCCCAGAGTTGCAGGTGGGGCCCAGCCCCTGGTGGAGAGGTGCTTAGCAGTGGCACCCCTGCCCCCACCCTGAGCTCCTCTTGGGACCCATCACAACTCAGAGACACCCCCCTCAAGTCTCAGGCCAGGCTCTGATCACAGCTTGGGGCAAAAGTGGACACAAGATGGCCAGGCACCCCCATAATCATGCTCCCCCATCTCACTCTGATCCCAGAGCACAAGTGGGCACAGGATGGGCCAGGCATGGCCCATAATCATGTTCTGCCATTGCCACCACCCATACACGTCGTTCCCCCAGATCTATGCCCACCCACCGTATAGATTCAGGATATCAATGGGCTCTTATGGTAGCCGGTACCCAGCCGTGCAGACATATACCCCCAAGCCTGCATCCATGAGACAGTGATTCAGCAAAATCACGCCCTATGGTCACCCCCTGGTGGCAAGGGGCCCTGGCAGCTTAGTGGTTACATGTTGAGCTGCTAACTGCAAGGTCAGCAGTTCGAGACCACCACCTGCTCTACAGGAAAAAGGGCTTTCTACTCCTGTAAAGTGCCACAGCCTCAGTCTCAGAAGCCCACAGGGGCGGTTCTGCCCTGTCCTATTGGGTCGCTAGGAGCCGGCATCGACTCCACGGCAGTCAATTTGTTGAGGGTTTGGGTGGCCAAGGTCAGGACAGATTCCCCAAGGACAAAGGTCCAGGAGCTGAACCAGCAACCCAGATGGGTTGCACACCACGGTCATGGGCTGGGATACTGAGTGGATGTTGGAACCACTCTGCTACTGCAGCGGAGTAAGGCCAGGGCCAACGGCTTAGGAGATCGGATGCAGGCAGTC